GTCAGCTGTCCCGGCTGTGTCCCCTCCCAGCTTCTTGTGCCCCCCCCAGCCTACTCGCTGGTGGGGTGGGGTGAGGGGCAGAAAAGGCCTTGACTGTGTGTCAGCACTGCTCAGCAACAATGAAAACACCCCTGTGTTATCAGCACTGTTTTCAGCACAAATCCAAACCACAGCCCCATACCAGCTACTGTGAAGAACATTACCCCAGCCAAAAGCAGCACACGTATACAGATGTGACCTCATCTATTTAATTAAGGAATAAATAGATTTAGATGTCTAACCTGAGTGGTTTCTTTTTGTAGAATTGTACATTGTGTTACACTTGCAATTAAGAAAGAAAACTGCTAGTTCAGTTGTGCAACTGCTAAGGGCTTATTCTTAGCCTTCAGTGGACAAGACTGTGTTAACAGATTTAATGTCTGGATTTTTTTGGAAACTAAAATGTTATCCCTCTCTCCCCAGGTTTTCATCACAAAGGGGAAATGTACCCGAAATAATAAATTTACCAGTGACTTCATCTTTGCAATTAATGTAATGTGGTTTAGCACTGAACAGCATTTTTACTTTTCACAATGGGCCTTCATCTCCCACTTCAGCTCCTGCCCAATTTCCTGTCCCTTGGCTCTTAGGATCACATTCCACAGGGAGCTGACTTGCTTTTGCTCAAGGGAGTACTTTTCCTCAGTCCTCATAAGAAGGTAGTAAGACCAGCCTGAAACAGCATCAGAAAGACATGTGCTTAGAGAAAGGGCAATAGGGAGGAAGGGAAACCTACCTGTATTCAGGGATACTGAGAATGTATCTTTCAAAGGGAAGGAAGGTAGGCAAAAAACCTACTCAATGTCTTTAAAAATTTGCTACAGTGAAGATTTTCAAAAGCCTCAATTCTCTGCACATTAATATAATCACCTCCACAGAAAGCTTTAGAGGAGATAAATTGCTAAACGCTGCCTTGCAGGTGGAGAAACAGAAAAGATGAGCACCTCCCCAAGGTGTTAACACTGGTCAGTGGCAAAGTGAGGAAAAGAAACCAGGAGGATACAGCTCCTAGCTTTGATTTCAGCCTCACTTTCAGGGCTTTCCCTGAGTTGCAATCTCAGTTCCTGTGACAGGTTCATCTATTTAGGCCAAATAATTTTTATGTCTGACTTTCTGGAACCAACTAAGAGCCAGCAGACAGCAGTTTCTATTGGAGATTGCAGCATTTCTGGGATTTTTGGGGAGCGGACACAGTGCACATACATAGCCAGAATTATTAAAGTTCTCTAAACAGAACACAGAATGCAGAGTTCAAACTGTATTTGTCTCTTTTCCTTCCGTCTCTCATCTTCAGCAATCCCTGTGGTATCAGCGGAGGGATATCCACATGGCAAAACCACCCAAGCTCACCCATTGATAGAAGTGTATGCAACCTTCTCCTGCCTTCAGTCATTTGAAGGTAGGCTTGTATCCCACGCCTTTGCTCTGCAGTGCTGACATGTCCCCAGGTGATGCTCTGACCCGAAGCGAAGCGTGTCCCCCCGTGAGGCCCAGCGCTCAAGGGGATGCGTCAGCCCATCACCACTCTTGGGCTGCCATTACAGGACCCGCTACAGCACTGCTTCAGGCAACACGTTGGCTGAAACGTCAATCTCCCCTCCAAAGCATGACCGACCGCTCATTTGCTACTCTCCTTTTGTGACGTTACTCCCACAGTAAGTGCCATGGGAGGCTCGGGGCACACTAGGTAACCCCATGCCTAGCCCGCGTCAGTTAGTCTATAAAGAAAAGGTAGCTGTGGGCATGCTATGGCAATGGCAGGCTGCGAGCACAGCCAGCACCTGGCCCCTCTCAGGCTGTCGGTTACAGTGATCATAGAATCATAGAATCATTAAGGTTGGAAGAGACCTCCAAGATCATCGAGTCCAACCGTCAATCCAACACCCCCATGCCCACTAAACCATGTCCCTAAGCGCCTCATCTACATGTCTTTTAAATACTTCCAGGGATGGTGACTCCACCACTTCCCTGGGCAG